GCATGTCGTCCTGCTGTTTGGACGTAAAGCCGAGCACAGGGGGGGTATACTAAGGAGGGAAGAAGCAGAGACCAGCGCCGGATCCGCGAAAGGAACGTGGGCACAGGTCGTTGGCAGAAAGAAGGGGGTGCCGGGAAGGGCACCAGCAAAAAACAGCCAGAGCCCGAACCGGGAAAGAAACCCAAGAGCGGAGGTTCGTTGTCGCCGCCCTCCCAGAAGGAGAGAAAGAAAGCAAGAAGGAGAGTCCCCAGGACAACCGCGGTTGTCCTAACGTGCCCAGAAAATCACTATGGTGAGTACATGGGCATCGTTAGGGGGAGAATAAAACTCAAGGAGGTCGGAATAGAAAAGACCCCTAACGTTAGGAGGACCGCCACGGGAGCCCTAAGCCTGGAGATCTCAGGCCAGGGCAGTGTTAAAAAGGCTGACGCTCTGGCGGCCAAAATGGCGGAAGTCCTGGCAGACAAAAAAGGGGTAAGGATAGGTCGCCCAACAATGACAGCGGACCTACGCTTTAGCGGGTTCGAGAACTCGGTGGGTGAGGACGAAACAAGGGAAACCCTTGCTACCAAGGGGGGGGGGGAAGACGCACGTAGCGGGAGTCGCAGTCGGCCCCATGGAAAACGGGCTGTGCACCGTGGTGGCGAGATGCCCGTTTGCGGCGGCCAACTCCCTGTCGAGGGACGGAAGGCTGGCACTGGAGTGGTCTAACGCAAAGGTTGCGATGGGAGAAGAGACACTCCAGTGTTATAGATGCCTGGAACTGGGCCACACCCGGGCGACGTGCCGCAATGAAGCGGACAAGACGGGGGCCTGTTATAAATGCGGAGAAACGGGCCACGCGGCGAGGATGTGCGAGGCACCGATAAAATGCGCAATTTGCGAAAGCAAAGGAATGCCCCACGATCATCGGATCGGCGGGATTTTATGCGCAGGTAGCCGCAGAGGAAAAGGAAAGGGAGCTGTGGACAAGGAAAAAGAGGAGTAGAAATCCACGGCCAAACCGGTGCCTAAGCCAAAGACAAAGATCGCGAGCAACCTGGGAGTTACCGGGTTCAAGGTAACCCACGAAGGCAGGCTGGTGGCCGGGAACATGCCCCTCCCCCCCCCGAAAGAAAAGAGAACGCGGGCTCCCCGGAAACCTGCCGGGGAAAAACTGTTAACTCTGCAAAATGGTGGATCGACGGATAAGATGGAAGTGGAGATCTTTCCACCACTTGAGACGGGTTTGAAGGGGATAACGGAGATTCCCCCATCACCGGTAGCAGGAACGCGCGGGGAAACGAAGACTTTCTCACCACGTTGTCACCACACGCGGCGGAAACGAGCGAGGAAACGGAGGAGGTTCCTTCGTCAGGAATGGAGGTGGTGGAGGAGCCGACGGACTCTGACGTTGATTCACAAAAAGACACGGAGGAGAATTCCGCGAACAGCGCTGACTCACAGAAAGAGAGGGAGACAGAGGAGGACTTGATAGGGTATTTGTAATGACCCTACAAGTCCTCCAAGCCAATCTCAACCACGCCCGCGCAGCGCAGGACCTGTTCTGCCAAACAATGGCGGAGCGCGGGTGGATTGGGGATCGCGGCGAAGCCTTACCGTGTTCCGAGAAACCACCCATGTTGGGCGGGGGACCGGAGGGACTCCGTCGCGAAAACGTAAAGGACGCTGCCGACGTCCCCCCCGTGCGTCCCAAAAGGAACCAGGGAGGGTTACGTGCGGGTGGACTGTGGGCCCATCTCCGTCATCGGTGTATACGCCCCACCAAGATAGACCCGTGCCGAGTACAAGCAATTCTTAGTAGAACTAAACGACTGTGTCTGAGGATGCTCGTCCGGCCGGGTGTTGGTCGCGGGGGACTTCAACGCGAAGTCCTCGCTGTGGGGTTCCGAGGTCGAGGACGAGGACGGCAAGATTTTTGAGAGAATCACAGCCGAACGCTTCGTCCAGCACCTGTTCCAAAGGGCAGAAGGAGGGATCTTGGATGATCAATTCGGCTTCCGTACCGGAAGGTCGACCATCGACGCGATCAAGCGCGTCCTCTCCCGGACGGAGGCCGAGATAGAGGGGGAAAAGTTGTCCTCGGCGTCTCCTTTGACGTGATAAACGCGTTCAACTCTCTCCCCTGGCCGATTATAGGGGAGGCCTTGGCTAGGTTTGGGGTCCCCGCCTATTTAATTATGATCATCCGGGACTATTGCAGGGACAGGGGCCTGTTATACACGGACCGGGATGGGGTTCTGAGACTGGTCCTGAGAGCGGTCCGAGGGAAACGACCGGACTCCTTTTCCCCCTGCGGGGGGAGAAGGGGATCCGCCCCCTTGCCGCCATATTTGGTGCCGAGCAGGTCGGTGGACAGGGAGGAGGCGGGCCGACGAGGGCTCGGGTGGGATTCCCAAGGAATCCCTGCCACAAGCGCTCCCCTCGGTCTGCGCGGGCAGGGGGCCGTGAATTCTCGGGGGGGCTTAGGCCTTACCTCGGGGACACGGATCTCGCCTGCCCCTTAAAAAGGCCCGAGGGAAGGGAGGAGTTTATGGCTTTTCCCCTGCTCGCCCGGGGGACGGGCGAGTGGTCGGGGATAACTGCTCGTCCGCTGCGCAAGCAACCCCGGAAGTAGGGGTGGTTGATAAGCGTGGTGACACTCATCCGTCACAAATTAGGAATCGCGACACGCCCTTAAGGGCGAAGTGCGGGGTGGCTCACGGATGTGATCATTGCGTTTCCCGGGGCGAGTGCGCCGGGCAGAAGCCGATCAACCTCGGCGGCAGCAAGAAGCGCGACGTCTACATCGCCGGCTTCTTCCCGTACGGCAATCACGTGCCGGAGGGTCACATCGGCCGCGGCGTCATGCCCGCGGTGAAGCTCGCGGTGGAGCACATCAACGAGCACCCGACCATACTCAGGGACTATCGACTGCATATGTGGTGGGACGACACAGAGGGAACGGACACTACGGAAGAAGAAGTGAAAAAGTTTACGTGGCGTACCATCGGCAAACATCCGAGACGACGTCGGGGAAGTGTGCGACGCCGGCGACCTGCGACTGCGATTGCTAAATTCCCACTTGCCCCGAGGATATGTTATTTCTGAAGGCACAGGACCATACCACTTTTTCTCTGGCAAACAATCATCAAGATATCACAAACTAAATATTGAAAAAATTACCAAGTTTTTCTTGAATATCTAAAAAAAAATTAGGCAAATAAAAGTTGTCCAAATTAGTTAATAAAAAAAAATGGTACAATAAAAAATAAGGGTTTTTATTTAAAAAATTTGACTTAAGCCCTATTGGATTCAATACAGGCTCTGGGGCCCGATTCTCTAACGACAAACGTATGCGTAAACTCTGCTCTAACAGAAAAGCTGCAAGCTTATTGGCTAAAAACCGTGCGATAACAAATCAATTTGCAGCCTTTCTGTTAGAGCAGAGTTTGCGCATACGTTTCTTGTTAGAGAATCGGGCCCCTGGATCCAAAATCCAATAAGATCATCTATTGGCCTCCTTCGAATTTTTCAACTTTTATCTAAAACACTTTTCCAATAAACCAAGCCGTCAATTGACACTTAACGAAGATTAACACAATAACATTTAAACGACACCCAACGATAAAGTGATCATGGCGACACTGATTAAATCGACATAGAACATTAAGTGCCCGTCTACAAATTGTTCAATCACAGTTGAATTTGAGAAGAATAATTGACTGTGATTGGTTAAGTTCTTAGGGCTTAGGGCTTAAAACATCTATTGTAGACGGACACTAAAGGTTAATACCCTGCTAATATCAAACCAACATATTATTCAACGATGAGGATCAATCTTCAACCTACACTAAACATTGAGGCTTAATCCCCAACTTACACTTATCATTGAGAATAAACTCCCAATATACACTCATCATTGAGGATTGAACCCACAACTTACCTAAACCTTAATAGTCAACACTCAATCTACACCTAAATTTAAGTGTTGACACTTAACTTTGATGACAAACACTAAACTTTGCCCAAATTTGAGTGTTAACTTTCAAATTTAAGCGTAAGTTTAGTGTTAACACTCAAATTTGGGTGTTAACCATCAAATTGAGTGTACTTTCTTATAAGGGTCTACGCGTGAAAAGTTGTAAATCCATGTAGCAACTCGTCTCGCGTGGAAAGTGTGTGCGTGGAGGCAGTAGATTCCACCCTCCTGCGGGGGCTCTACTACCGTTAAACTAGATACATATTGTGCCTTGCAAAGTACATGCGTGGACTTTCCACGCGTAGAAAGTTGTAAACTCATGTAGCAACTCGTCTTGCGTGGAAAATGTATGCATGGAGGCAGTAGGTTAAAAATGTTAAAAAAATTACTTAACTTTTGAGTCGCTAAAAATCCTTTTGGTGTATGTCTTTTTTATGTAAAAGGAACCTATTTACAAAGTTTGACCTAAATCGGAGCATGAACGTTTTCTCTCTAAATCTGAATCAGTGAATAGTTATATACTGATGACAGTGTAAAGTATGCCACTGATTCATGAAAAGTGGCATACTTTACACTAATATCAGTGACTATTCACTGATTCAGATTTAGAAAGTACGGAAGAACAGCCTAACTGCTATATTTCTCAAACTTTTTTCATTAATAATTTTTTAATAAATAACGACCGCCGGCTAAAACCTATTGAAGGTCACTCAGGATGATGACCTTGACAACATATGTCAAGGTCAAAGTCATTGGTAAGGTTTGACCTTTTATGGATATTAACCCATTATTTAAACAAACGGACATATGTCTCCTTACATTCAAGTTAATAGAATTCTAAAAAATATTTACATTTGCGTAAATGTTTAAATAAAAATATTTCTACACAATAATGTGTTATTTTATTTAATGTCAGAGAGGAGCTTTTATACATATGTACATAAAAAATATTTTATTAAATGTTTTAATATTTATCATAATCTCGATTTAATTTACAATTCACCAGTATAACATAATTTATTATTAATTACAATATAAATGCAATTAATACGACGTTTTCTATATTTGCGTTATATTTACTTATTCTTTACATTAACATTATATGCAGCAACTGCACCCAAAGCTAGTTAATGTTTCTACGACTTACGCTTGCTTGTTCTTGTGTAATTTAGATGCGGTGTACATATAATTATAATAAAAATTAATTAATAGCTTTATTACAAAGAATATACTTAACAATATTATAAAGAAATTAAGGAACAAAAATGCGTAGACATCAATCAGATTTTGTTCCATCCAGCTCTGAGATCTCAGCGACGTTACTAAAGTTCCATTTGGATGGCGGACGGTGTATTCAATGCTCCAAACAGCTAAATCTAATGGCGGTATTGGCCGATCCCGGAATTCGCTGGATAATCGTTTCATGTTTCTCGTATAACTGTACAAAAAAGGTATTACTTTTAATGATGAAAAACATTACGCATATTAATTAAAGGAATAGCCAAATATGACAAAATACATAAACAAAAAAGCAAAATTTTATAATTTATTATTTTGTAACCAATTGTTTTTACAGGAATTTTTAAATCGACTATACTATAATAAACATTAGAGTTTAAACATTACTTGTAATGTAGCTAAATTGTTAATATTTACTACTTAAATAATAATTATTGAAACATAATCGAAATATAATACCTTTCATTGTAAAGTACTTCTTCAATTGCGTGTAATAAAGATTGCGTGGACAAAGTTTTAATGTCCAAGTATATGCCAACACCTTTAGCTACTAATATTTTTGTGTTAGATTTTTGATCCATAAAAAATGGCATTACGATCATTGGTACACCTTTCCAAATAGCTTCCTGCGTACTCAGAAGACCACCGTGTGTCCAGACTGCTTTTACATTTTTATGAGCTAAACATAAAGATATCATATCATACCTACTATCATACTTCATATCATACTATTATATAAAACCCGACTGTTTGTCTGTCCGTCTGTCCGTCCGTCTGTCCGCGAACTACTCATTCGTTAGTGGACCGAATTTTTACCAAAAGTATATGAAACAGGGGTAGAATTTTCCGGGAAGTGCCATGATGTGTATAGTTTTTTGTTACCGATTTTCTAGAAACCGGTTTTTCTAATTTTGCTTCCTCATAGAGGAAGCTTTGTTTTCGTTAAAAAAAATTTTTTTTTTGTTTTTCTGAATGTGTTCAGAATGTTCTAAAACGTCGAAAAATTGCAATTTAAAAAAATGTATGTATGTATGTATGTGTATGTGTATATGTGTGTATGTGTGTATGTGTGTGTGATGTGCCAAATTTACCGAAATTTCTATAACTCCAGAACTAATCAACCAAATCTTAACGAATTATTTATAAAATAGGGGTAGAAAAAACTGAAAAATGTAATAGAATTATTAAAAATTGCTAATAATCAAAGGGTTCTTTTTTAATAAAATTTTGAATTTTTGCAGAAATGTTTGTTTATGCTTTAATTTCCGCAAATTTAGAGATATCAATCTATTTCTAATTTTATTATATTTTTCAGTCTTTTCTACCTCTATTTCATATATAATTCTTTAAGATTTGGTTGATTAGACTCAGCTTTATACGCAATCAAAGGTCCCTAATTTTTAGAAAAATGTCTGTAATAGCTTTAACTTCTGTAAATTTTAAGATATCGGTCTATTTTTTATTTTGTTATATTCTTCAGTCTTTTCTATTTCTATTTTATATAATTCTTTAAGACCGGTATTCATAGTCGGGTCTTATATTCAAGATCGTCTTAAGTATAGTCTTAAGGCGTCATCAGCCAATCAGAGGGCTGTGTTAGCATCTTAAGACGTCACTTTCTCTATGAGGAAGCCAAGTGCAAATTTCTAATTTGCACCATTTTTTACTACTTTTTGCTTGCAAAAGTAATTTTTTTGCTCCAGCTTTTAAGAAACTCCAAGATCAAAATGGAGCGCTTAAAAGTAAAGGACCTCCTGAGGTCCTGACCAGTGACCACGGAACACAATTCACTGCAGACATCTTCGCGAAATTCTG